GCCTAAAAAATAAAAATAAAAAAAAAAGATCAACTCACTTTACGTTTAGAGTTAATCCTCCATTACAAATCTCGTAAGAGCGTCGAATGTTGATAAAGCATGATAATGTGAAAAATCTATCTGTAATCTCTATCTACAATTTAGTCTCCAAGGAGTGACACCACAATGAGATCTCGCACCACCTCAAAATCTTGCTATGGCAGCCTCTGGTTCGGCCCATGGAAAAAGTTTTCTTTCCAATTCGGCCCAGGGGCAAAAACTGTTGGCCACCCCTGGTCTAGACTATAGACCTGGAAAGTCAGGGAATCTGCAAATACCATGGAATCTATCCCTCTTGCTCCTTTTTGATCTGAACATCTTTAAATTTGGTTCAGTGTAGGGAGGGTGTATGAAAACTAGAGTAACCAAATATAAGTACGACAAATCTTGCCATTTATCTTGTAAACTATAAATGATAATCTAATGATTTAAATTTTGTTGGATAGAAGGTTTATGTCTGTATTTAAAATGCTGGATAATGCAGGTGCAACAGCTGTGTGGGGAAAGGGTAGCAGTTGCGTGTGAACACTGAAAATGTCTGTGCGGCATGGCATTTGGGCAGTGAAACTTTGGATTGTGAAGAGATAGGACGTTGAAATTGGTGTTGATTTGGTACAGAATGACAGGATCTACAATATTATTTAGCAATAATCTATACTAATATTATAAAGAGGTAATGTTTGTAAGTTTGTATGTAGGAGGTAATCTCCAAAACTACTCATCCGATTTCAAAAATTCTTTCACCAATATTTAGAATGGAACTTCAGAGTGGACATAGGCTGTATATTATTCCGTTAAACATTCATATAAATTAAAAGATATCATCTAGGATTAAGGCTTTTATGTCCAACAGATGGCACTAACTTCACGAGTACGAAATTTGCTTTTCTGTGATGATGAACTAAAGCAGATCATCATCTATCTATCTATATAAATAAAAATGTAATGTTCGTTTTTTTCATACCAATTCCTTTGAAATTTTGACACAATGTTACATTCGAATATGCACATGTTTTTATATAATACACATGTCGAAATTCCTCCCACTGGGGGAGAAGGACAGGTTTAAGGCTTACCGTGAAGAACTCTGCTTCTATATATACTATTTTAGATGTCGTTTTTTGCGTTTTTGATTGCGTTTTAATAGGGTACGTCAAGAGAATGTACACTAAAAAGGAATTTTTCGAAAAATCCCCCCCCCAGAAGTGTTATACATTTATAATAGATACATTTTGAGCCACAACAATGTGTGGCGGGGTCTGCTAGTAACCAATAAAATAGAATTTGTAAAGTTGTAAGCTGATAACTGTGCGAGCTGAAGAAAATTTTCATAAGGTCGAAGAAATTGCAAAAGAAATACAAACAGAAATGTAGTAAACATATATCATTGGAAAGAAAAATTTTAAAGGAATCAGAAAAGCCCAAAATGATGCATATTGTATAGAGTGTAAGAAAACTGAGCGAGACAACTCCAGTGCAAATGTTTTGAGTGCTCCCCTGCTGAACCAATAGATATTGACTCATGATAACCATCAATACTTTATTTGTTTACATCTTATCCTTTCTCTAATAACACAAATACAAAGATAGATTCATGCCTTAAACAATTGCAGTGTGTCCCTTACACAACCCTTCTAATTTTTTTTGACCTGTGTGACATTTGGTTAACTCATTGCAATCAGTTGATGTGGGGGAGGCAAGGAACAAGGTTGGCCTAATGGTATTGTGTACAGGACATTTTGGACTGCACAGCAGACCTTATGTATTTTTATTCATTGTATTCTTCACTGCTGGCCACATACAATATGTGGAGATAACAGTTTTGCCAATTTTGATGATCTATGATATGTCTCTATCTCCATCTTCAGATGGCTCATGGAATTTTGCAAGTATACCAAAATATCGCCAGAGTTAAAATTGGGTTTTCAAAAACACCATCAACAACAATCCGCTTTTCCACCAAAACTCTGCAGTTAAGTTTCAGGAAGGGATGTGAAGAAATGTAATGACCTTGATTGGGTCCATGCTGGACCAAAAATAGCATGCAATAAGCAATTTCTCCCTCTCACAGAGTGCACAATTTCTTCTGTTTAAATAATTTTGAATTTACCACTACCTCACTTTAAGAAAATTTGATTTTACAATGCAAGTCTTTCTTATTTAAATAAAATTTACAAATTAATTTAATTAAATCATGAAATTTTTTATATGACATAGAAATGACCTAGCTAATTGCATAATCAATTTTACATGAAATTTTTTTGTAAGTGAATAAAGTATTTTTTTAAAATATATATAATTGTGTGGAAAATGGGCTTAAATAGATTTTGCCTAATATTACTTAGTGGAAAGGTGAAATGCAGAGACATTAATAAGTCATTAATACTGTCAGAGAATCACAGATGGAATTACCTGTATGGACCTTGAAATTATTAAAATGAAAAATGATAAACAGCTCATTTCAAATTAGGTTTTTTTTAAGAGTAGGAATTATACTAGTTCATAACTCCTACTCTCAAATTGAGGATGTGAAAGATAATTTGATGAACTTGGAAACAACTTAAAATATTTCAAAAACAAATTTTATTAATATTAGTTTATTAGGCAAAATTATAAATTTTAGAAAACTCCTAACTAACACAGCATTAAAAATAAATCACACTATATCAGGGACAATGTTTCCTTACACAAAAAATCAGGCATTTATGCAATTCTGTTGCTGCATCTGTTGTCATGAGCTACAACAATGTACATTGGGCTACTGCTAGAATATTGCAAGTTTGGGTTGCAGAGCATCAAGAGGATATTACAAATAATAGACCTACAACTGAACTCTCAAGAAGAACACTAGAGCATTGGCTACATTCCACTTTGGGCTCATACTAGGTTACTGAGGTGGTGCTACAACAAAAGAATGTATTTCTATGGAAAAATCTTTATATCTCATCATTTTCACCATGTAATTTCCCAACCAAAATATTTTGCAATTTTGGATAGAACTGTTTAAACAATTTGCCCTGTAAATACTCACATAAAAATTTTATACTTATGGATTTATATTTTTGTCAATAATTTTAGTGTATTCTTTATTTTATTGATTTGTTTTAATTTTACAAATATTTGATAAACCAACCACATATCTTTATACATTTAAAAAAATACTTGTATGTTCTATTCTAATCTTAAGTTTAAAAATTGCATTTGATTTTATTGCGTGACAATGACGATTGTAAGTCATTGAAAGTACTTGCAATTTTTATTAAAAGTATGTGATTTTAACATGGTTTTAGTGTGATTTCTCTTCAGTAACATTCCCAGCATGAAGTATATATTATTTTTGTCAATTATTAACACAGCATTTTTAAAGTTGCAAAATGTTTAAATTTTAAATAGACTGATTGATATTATACTAGGGGTTGAGATTCTAGTATAATAATAAAGCAATACAATTTTTAAATGTTAATGTTTCTGGTCTACTTTATAGATCATCATCATAAATGACTGAGTGGCAAGTTACTGTATTAACAATGTAATACACTCCCTAGCCAATGAATTAGAAACAGCAGTGTAATATTTTATTGGACCACCTTTAACTCAAATTACAACATTTACTTGATTTAGCATGGATTCTACAAGGTGCTGAAGTGCTTCTAAGTCCAATGCATACCAGGCATTTACTAGACTTTCCTTTAGTTTGCATAGATTTGATGGAAGAGGACTTTGCCGGCAGATCTGTTGATTCTAACATGTTCCATATGTTCTGAATGGGATTAAGATCTGGGCTCTGTGGTGGCCAGGGTGGATAGCAAAAGTCATCTTCATGCTCACTGAACCACTGCTGAACAATTCTTGTGTGATGGACAGTAGCATTGTCATCAAAGAAAGAGCCATCACATGCAGGAACAAAATGCAACATTGCAGGATGAACTTGATCAGCAACAATGTTCAGATACTTGTTGGAAGTCACCCAACCTTTCAGGAATATCAGAAGACCAGTTCTGTTCCAACAGAACATGCCCATACCATAATACCCCTACCAGAACCTTGAGTCATGTTAATGTGGAAAGCAGGATCCATTGCTTCATGGGGCTCCCTTCAAACCCTGTCTACTGTCAGTTCAGAATAAGGTGTACCGTGATTAGTCTGACCACATTACTTTTTCCAGTCTTCAGATGTCCAATTGCAGTGCCTTGGCCCCACTGTAGACGAACTTTCCGATTATTCACAGCAATAAGTGGTTTTCATATAGGCCTGCAACTGTTCATATTGATTCTTTTCAGTTCCCTGCACATAGTTCAGGTAGATATGGATAGGGATGGGATTCATTAAATTCTTCTGTCAATTCCTGCAGAGTGGAAGTCCTTTTTTTCCACACTAGCCTTTTCAGACAACTTCAGTTGTGTTCCTGTTTAACTGTTTTGGAGCCACAGTTACTTCTTTTAGACATTGAGGGTTATTTTTCCACTAATTGAACACTCAAGATATCTCACCTTTTGGAAAAGCCAGTCAGCTCTACAGTTATTGATATGATGACTCCAATGAAACAGGCTCCCACAATCAGCCCTTTTTGAAACTCCTTCAAGTCCTTTGCTTTTCCCAAAATGGTCAGTATGTTCATCAACTTAATGACCATACTGACTAATAACATTCTTAAATAGGAGCTTATGAACATGTGGTAACTCATATGACTCAAGTGTTTTGCATATAAGCTGCAAAATTACATTTACTTAATATGCATGGGGGTTTCTAATTCATTGGCCAGTGAGTGTAGAATGAACTGGTGTGGAGAGTCTTCCTTGTAATTTCTCCAAGGAAGGATTTATTGGAAATAGGAAGGATTCCCATAATTATCTCAAAATTTAGCCCCCGATATTCTTGTACTTTTATATTTAATATTAAATAATAAAATTATATTTAATATCAAAATTATTGACTGTCATTTAATTAATACAATTATTTAGCAAATCAGAGCAAACTCAAAATCCAACAGCTGTACTTCAAGCTTTAAAATATTATGCACATTCCATTAAAAAGAAACCAGAAGCAAAATATCTTGGTACTACAGAAACTGTTGAACAAGAATCCGAAGAAATTGAAAATGTTATTTCAGGTATGAGGATAGAATGTTTCTAATGAAATGTATATTATAATTTGATGATTATAACAATAATCATTGTTATAGTAAATTTTCTTCATTATCATTTTTAGTATAATTTTAATATTATGAACCATAAATTAATTATTATATTTTATAATTTAAAGTATTTGAATTAACTTTATTTGATTGAAATTTTTATATTGGCTTGAGTGTTAACTTTAATTATAATTCAAAAATAATGTTTTGATCAACTTTTTAAACCTATAGATAAGTAAAGCTAACTCTGGTTATTGAGGCAATTTAAATATGTAATTGCACAAGCTATTGTATGATAGCCAGCCTTCAATTAGAATGTTGTCTTATGTTGAAGTAATTTTAAATCTCTCAAGTTACAAGCTTGATTAGTTTTGTTGCTTGGATTGTTTAGAATACAGGCACCCCTTGCAGAATGATTTCTGATTATGTTTTTTCTAATAGAACAGCTTTCCATTTTTAGTACCCAAAATCTGTAGGACATATAGCTCTCTTAATACTTTTTTAGCTGCATTTTATTTAGGAAATAATTATATAGTCAGTTAATATATTCTTTAATTTTTAAGAGGCAGAAACATTTTTAAAATATGCTACAATTTATACAAACATCGCTAAACCCGATATACAATATAGCTACACACCAACAGAATGCCGAAAATCTATTGGGCTAGTTTAAGGCTAATTACTAAATAAATTACGTAACCAATTTGGCTCTAGAGGTAAGCGTTAGGCGCCATCTCTTACTAACATTAATAATTATAAATAAATTAATTAATTTAAATACTCTAGAGCCAAATTGGTTACGTAATTTATTTAGTAATTAGCCTTAAACTAGCCCGATAGATTTTCGGCATTCTGTTGATGTGTAGCTACAATTTATTTTGTTTTTTGTTGTATGTTCTCTTTCTGTGCCTTAAAATAATATGTTCATGTATAACTTGTACATATTATGGATACAAAGTAATTGTTTGATAACAATATTAATTGTTTAGTGACCAGAAAGTGATGTTTTAAGCATTTTGCATCCTAATATGATAAAGTATCTCAATATAAATAACAAACTATCATATTATGGTTAGGTTTTAAAAAGTTGGTTGATATTTCACATTATAATCTTTCTGATTTAAAATAATAAAAAATAGACTATGGTTAATGTTTTCTGGCAGAACGCTAATTTTCAGAAATTTATTACTGGTATTAAGCTGGGTAATGCCTGTATATTTTGGTAATTGAGAATCCATTTTTCATTTATTTTCACATTTATAAATTTCAAAATTATCACAATTTAGTGTGCAAAATCATTATAAATTTCATTTAATAATGCTTTTATTATGGACTTTTTCCATATCTACCAAATTAAACATGACTAAAACAGTAATTATATATTTCTAATTTTGGATGGATTTATTATAATTTACATGAAATGAATTCTTAATTATGTATTATTTTAAATTGACATTTAGTTTCTTTTCATTTTTTCTCTTAGCAATTCTTTTGTTTATCAATGTTAAATAATAAAACACACCTTTAATAATCCAGCTAATAAAAATTAATAAAGCATACAAAACGTTTTCGATCATTTCTTAACGATCAAATCTGGCGTACAAAATGATACAACACCTTATCGTTTTGTATGCCAGATATGTCGACGATATATTCATCTTGTGGCAACGAAAACCTAACCTACAGTAATTTTTGGATATGATCAATAATAACCCTTATGGTTTGTTACTACAAGTGGACCAGGAGAGTGATAGTATTGTAAATTTTTTGGACATTTCCATCTCTTGCAAACAGGGAGAAATCAGGACCAGCATATACAGAAAATCATGCTTTCAACCCACTTTAATTCCGCATAATTCGATCGATCTGCATCACATCAAATTGGCGACCTTTAGGTCCTGGATAAAAAGGGCTTATACACATTGTACTAGTATGAAAGACACGATGGCGGAGCTAAACTATATTCTAAGGTTTGCAGAACAACAGGGATACCAAAAGGAAATCATAAGGAAACTTATTACAACCTTCCAAACAACTAAACAACGGCATCCTACAGTAGACCGTAGACAAAGGATGGTTTTAAATTATGTCCCATTTTTGAGACAAATACATAAAGAAACGGCCAAGGCTAATGATTTTTGAGTGATATATTGACGCAATCCTACAGTTTTCAAGCTATTAAGAAACGATAAGAAGCGTTGTGACTGGAAATCGGCATCAGGGATCTATTCTATACCATTACACGATCAGCATTTTAATTTGGATCTTGTCTACGTGGGCGCAACTTGCAGCAATGTATCAAAGAGCATAAATATACAATTAATAAGAAACTTGGCAACACCATGTTATCGGCTTACGCAACACAACACAACACAACATTAGAGTCCATTGGGATCGAGCAGAAATAATTAAACCTACGACAAATTTACATACAATGAAATATCTGGAAAAATTAGAGATCTTTAAGGCACACAGGAAAACTACTTGCATCAACCATAGGGATGTGGACTCTTTACCTACCGCATGGCGATCTTTTTAGAAGAATTAATGACTTTATTTATTTTTATTTTTGTTAAGGGACATTTTTTCGGCTTAATTTATATTTTTTGTTTATTTTATCAGCACAGCTACTTTTCCGTTATTTATATTTTAATTTCGTATTTATGTTCTTTTTTGTGTTTGATTTATTCTATGTTATGGTAACTGAAGAAGAT